TCTGGTCTGCCACTGGTAGTGAGACTGGGCCATGAAGAACAAGGCTGCTTTTCGATTTAAAGCTTTCGTGACTGCAGAGATTCATCTTCTTGGTTCTTTCGGTAAAGTCACGTAGAAGGGAAATAATACAATAATACAAATTAAACATAATAAAATACAATTCTCACGACGTTTCGGCCACAACACAAGCAGCCGTCCTCAGGTGAAGAACAGGTCTGTCGGAAAGACAGCGTCTGAATGAACACCACCAAGCTTGGCAGCGTATATTTAAGCTGGGTTAGGGGAGGAAGGGCGCCTTGACAAAGGAATTTGCATATCAACAGAGTTGCATTTCCGACAGACCTGTTCTTCACCTGAGGACGGCTGCTTGCGTTGTGGCCGAAACGTCGTGAGAATTGTATTTTATAATGTTTTATTTTTATTATTTTATTATTTCCCTTCTACGTGACTTTACCGAAAGAACCAAGAAGATCAAGGCTGCTGTCTCTAGCGTCGGCCAATCAGTTTCAAAGCCAATGCATCACATGTCACTGTCAGAGCGAGTTTGTCTGCATCTTCACCGCAAGTACTCTGTGTGGTTAATGCAGAATTGAGTCCTTGCAAAAGGTTTCTATTTGGTGCTTGAACATCTTAACACCTCCTGTTTTATTGCCAGAAAGAGTAAAAGCGATTTTTATTTTTTCAAACAAATGTCATTGTTTGCGAGTTACAGACGAAACCACACAACCCCTGTTGTCGCTGTCAAACATAGTGCAGAACAGAATGGAGTTAGCTCACGAGCCATATATACACGTGTATGCATCGAATCAATGTTTTGTACTAATTTTAATGGGTTCAACGAACTCCACCAGCCCACTAGAAGCCACCGCGTTAACTGCAGTGCAAAGAAAGAAAAAAACTATACACATACATTTTACATTGATTCCAATGCCTTTTTTTCAGTCGACAAAAGCTAAGGCATGCTAATCTTGATTTGAAGCTTTCGTGACTGCAGGAATCAATACTCTTTGGTTCTTTCGGTAAATTCACGTGGGTAGAAAAATCAAAAGATCACGACGTTTCGATCGCAACACAAGCGATCGTCATCAGGTGGGACAACCACAGCCAACATAAGCAGTTTTTTCTTGCTGCTATAATGTTATTTGATATTCATTACTGATGAAAACATTATACCGGGGTCATCCCTCGAGATGGAACATTGTTAGTTGACGATATCCAGGGCGTCGAGTTACACACAGCAAACACACAAGGACAAATATCGCCCGTATAGCCTGAACAGACTGTTGGGGCAAGTGCTGTTAGCGAGCACCTATGAAGGTTGACATGGCACACGAGGGGGTGGGTGGCTAGCACCACGCCCGGCCGCCTTTGTCTCCCCAGTGGCGATGTTTACACACCGCGCTAGGTACTCGTTTTCAGGCTGAGTCGACCTAAGAGAGTCCCAGGACCGGTACAGATAATCGTCAATGGCGTTGGCCGTGAGCGGGAATCGGACTCGGGTCGCCGGGTTCGTAGCGCAGCGTAGCGCTAACCGCTGCACCACCGCTCCTCACAGCAAACACATAACGGACACGTCTACACACACACTTTAAAATATACAACACGTGCAGTTTAGACGGTCATACAATGCCATACACATTGAGTGTCAAGAACGGGCTGAAGTCTATTGCGTGGGGCTAATGACACACTGGGGCCGTCCATAAATGACGTCACGCACCTAGGGGGGGGTGCTCAAACATTTGTGACGTCACATCAAAATGCGCAGCTTTAAATAAATATAGACATGTTCTACTTAATTAAATAGATTTTTTAATAAATGTTTTCTCGTACAACATCAGAGTGCAGCGCCACATTAAATACGCACTACGATGACAATAATTTAAAGCGATTTGAAGCATGTTTTTTTTGGGGGGGGGGTAGAGCTTTGTGACGTCATATTTGAGGGGGGTCTGACTTTTTGTGACGCCGTGTGACGAGGGGGGGGGGGGGAGGTCAAAAATCGTCCAAAATCGCGTGACGTCATTTATGGACAGCCCCTAGGACATTCACCGTTGCGTTGCCCCCTGCAAACTGGTACACGTTTTATCGACCCCACCATCACCGAGGCAGGGATGATGGGTCGAGTGAACCCCCAACCAGGGGTTTGATTTCACAATCCTCCAAGTGAGAGCCACTCGTTCCACCGCTACCTGGGCGACTCAACTTGAAACAGGAAAGTACAGGGTGGTGGTCCAGATGTCTTGTGACCACCCCTCCCCTCCGCTCCCCCAATTAATTTACCGCTAACATTTTAAATAAACCCTACTAGAAACATATAAAATTGTAGATAATTAAACGGGTCAGAAGATATCTGCACCACCCGGTACAAGGCAGTGTTATTTAATGCGTTGCAGTTTGCCCGGACACCTGAAATTAACCACCCACCCCACCTCATTTAGTGCGCTAAGTCGAGGTTTTACTCTCTTTCTTATTCGTATGGTTGATGTAGAACAGGGGTGGGGAACCTTTCTTATACTCTTTGGTTTTTTCGGTAAAGTCACGTAGGTATAAAATTAAATAAATGAAAACATCTTCTTGGTTCTTTCGGTAAAGTCACGTAGAAGGGAAGTAATAAAAGAATAAAAATAAAACATAATAAAATAATTCTCAGGTGAAAACCAGGTCCGTAGAGGCGACAGCGTCTGAATGAAACAGCACACGAGTTTGGAGCATATATATAAGCTGGGCGCCTTGACAAAGGAATTTGCAAGAAATTTTTTTAAATGAAAACAACTAAATTAAATCACGACGTTTCGGAGGCAACACAAGCTTCCGTCTTCAGGTGGAACCAGCGACTTTGGCTGTAACGGTTCCACTTGAAGACGGAAGCTTGTGTTGCCTCCGAAACGTCGTGATTTAATTTAGTTGTTTTCATTTATTTTATTTTTCACCTACGTGACTTTACCGAAAAAACCAAAGAGTATGAATCCTTGCAGTCACGAAAGCTTCAAATTTAGAACACTTTTTCTGCCAATGGCCATTTGGATATTTATAACATCATTCGCGGGCCATACACAATTATCAACTTAAAAATTAGCCCGTTAAATTTAGTCAAATATTTAATTAACTCGCCTCTAATGCGATGGCTGGAACTGCTTCTCTTTGGCGAGGCGTGTGATGATGTTAGCTGCTGGTATTGATGATGATGTTGCTACTCGCAACTGCTTTTCCAGGTTTGCTCCTAGATTTGTTGAATTTCGAGTCTCGCCTGCGGTTGCCTTGGCAGGGCCACACCAAATGATTTCGCGGGCCTCGTACGGCCCGCGGGCCGGACGTTCCCCACCCCTGATGTAGAGCAACAGCTCCAATTTTGCATTCTTGTGGCGAAGGCAGAGACAGCCGGCGTCAGGCGAAGAGGGGTAGTGTGTATCATCGCTGTCATTTCAGTTTATGAGTGCAGTATTTTCTAAAATCTGATTGAATCGTAATAAAACTATTTTTTTGCATGTAAAGGCACCACTGGAGCTACACAGGAGCTCTTTCCGACAGACCTGTTCTTCACCTGAGGACGGCTGCTTGCGTTGTGGCCGAAACGTCGTGACAATTATTTAATGTTTTATTTTTATTATTTCCCTTCTACGTGACTTTACCGAAAGAACCAAGAAGACTACACAGGAGCTCTGTTTCAGAAGCGACCTGGCTCCCACAAATGATCGCTCAACGAAGTTGGGCTTATCACGTGGACATTGATATCAGCCAAAATAATCTAAACGCGTGTTTCTCTAAATGTGGAGGGAAAACCCTGGAGGGCCCGGAGAAAAATCCACGCGACCACGCGGAGAGAGCGAGAGAGAGACACCGCAAACTCCAAATATATACAGCAGCAGGCGTCAGGGTCGGGATCGAACCCACGACCTCCTGCATAACAGGCGAGGCAGTTAACATATCGTCACCACACTGTTTGGGACATACCAGAGGTGGGACAAAGTCATTGTTATGCAAGTCCAAGTCGAGTCTGAAGTCATCAAATTCATGACTCGAGTCTGACTCGAGTCCAAGTCACATGACTCGAGTCCACACCTCAGAGGTGGGACAAAGTCATTGTTATGCAAGTCCAAGTCGAGTCTGAAGTCATCAAATTCATGACTCGAGTCTGACTCGAGTCCAAGTCACATGACTCGAGTCCACACCTCTGGGACATACACATCATTACATGAGAATAAAAAAACCCATAGTCATTGTGATAACCAATTACTGAATATTCTTTGGTTCTTTCGGTTAAGTCCTGCAGTCACGAAAGCTCCAAAATTAAGATTCAATTACTGAATAGCTTCGTCAAGACGGGCTGGCAACGTTTTGGAGCACAGGATCTAATCGGCTCGAACGCGCTCTGGCAAATTGCGTGAAGAGACGTGGCCACGTGGTTCAGTGGCGGTGTGGAGATCACGTGCTCAGCCCGGCGGTCACGCGCTCGGGATGACGGGGGCCGTCACGCGCGCGGTGACGTCACAGCCCCCCCCCCATTTCCCCTCCCCCCAGCTGACCTCTCACCGTCGGAAGGAGCGGTGGCGGAAGTGGTTAGCGCGTTGCGCTTCACGAAACCCCCCCGCTCACGGCCACCGACGACCAAACCCACCCCTAGGTCGACTCAGCCTCAAGCGAGTGCCTGGTGCCACAGTGGTGGTGTGTAAAAAAAACATCGCCATTGATGAAGGGAGACAAAGGCGGCCGGGCGTGGTTGCTGCCCCCCCCTAAACCCCAAACCCCCGTGCCCTCCCCAACGTGTGCCCGTGTCGACCTTCAAATGGTACTGCTACTCGCCAACAGCACTTGCCCCAACAACAGCCTGTTAGAGGCTATACGGGGAGCTTTGTCTTTGTGTTTTTTTTGGGGGGGGAGGGGTGAGGTGGGGTGTGGGGGAAGCACGCGATTGGTTGGAACGCGAGCGCGAGCCCGGCGCGGGGGACCAATCACGCGGCGCGGCCTTGCGCGCCTATAAATAGGGGAGACGAGAGCCTCCCCCTCGCCTCAGTCGTCATTGTGAGGTGGTGGAGGTGGTTGTTGTTGTTGTGGTCTCTACAGTCGCGTGTTTACAATTCATATAAACAACAACGACGACAACAACGACGACAACAAACGACGATCAACATGCAGTGCTACGCCGCCATATCGCTCCTCTTGGCTGCCTGCCTGCTGCCCGCAGATGCGCTCATCAGGTGGATAAAAGACATACGCAGACACACACACAGAGACACACACGCAGAGATACAAACACACACGCAGACACAAAGATACACACAGACACGGAGACACACGCACAGAGACACACACACGCAGACACAAAGATACACACAGACACGGAGACACAGACACGGAGACACACGCACAGAGATACAAACACACACGCAGACACAAAGATACACACAGACCCACACACGCACACACAGACACGGAGACACACGCACAGAGATACACACACACACACACGCAGACAAAGATACACACAGACACTCACACACAGACACGGAGACAGACACGGAGACACGCACAGAGATACAGACACACACGCAGACACAAAGATACACACAGACCCACACACGCACACACAGACACGGAGACACACGCACAGAGATACAAACACACGCACAGAGATACAAACACACACGCAGACACACAAAGATACGCACAGACAAAGACACAACCACAAAGACACAAATATACACACAGACACAAAGATGCACAAAGACAGACACAAAGACAGACACGGCGACACAAAGATACACAAAGACACAGACACAAAGACACACACAGACACAAAGACTCAGCCACACAGACACGAAGATACACACAGACACAAAGACAGACACACAGAGACACACAGACAAAGACAGACACACAGAGACACACACGGACGATCTTGTAATTGAAGCTCACGTGTAGGCTGGCTATGTAGGTCGCGTTAACCCGCCTCCGCCCTCATCTCCATCCACTGTACATCGACACATGGTCAACCGCTGTTACACAAGAAGACTGTCCCTGTTGTGTGTGTCCCTGTGTGTTTGTGTGTGTGTGTGTGTCCCTGTGTGTGTGTGTCTTTGTGTGCGTGTGTGTCCCTGTGTGTGTGTGTCTTTGTGTGTGTGTGTCCCTGTTGTGTGTGTGTGTGTCCCTGTGTGTGTGTCTTTGTGTGTGTGTGTCCCTGTGTGTGTGTGTCCCTGTGTGTGTGTGTCTTTGTGTGTGTGTCCCTGTGTGTGTGTGTGTCCCTGTGTGTGTGTCCCTGTGTGTGTGTGTGTCTTTGTGTGTGTGTGTGTCCCTGTGTGTGTGTCCCTGTGTGTGTGTCTTTGTGTGTGTGTGTCTTTGTGTGTGTCTTTGTGTGTGTGTGTGTCCCTGTTGTGTGTGTCTTTGTGTGTGTGTGTCCCTGTGTGTGTGTGTCCCTGTGTGTGTGTGTGTTTGTGTGTGTGTGTCCCTGTGTGTGTGTCCCTGTGTCTTTGTGTGTGTGTGTGTCTTTGTGTGTGTGTGTGTCCCTGTGTGTGTGTCCCTGTGTGTGTGTGTCTTTGTGTGTGTGTGTCTTTGTGTGTGTGTTTGTGTGTGTGTTTGTGTGTGTGTGTCCCTGTGTGTGTGTCCCTGTGTGTGTGTGTCCCTGTTGTGTGTGTGTGTGTCCCTGTTGTGTGTGTCTTTGGTGTGTGTGTGTCCCTGTTGTGTGTGTGTGTTTGTGTGTGTGTGTGTGTCCCTGTTGTGTGTGTGTGTGTGTCCCTGTTGTGTGTGTGTGTGTCCCTGTTGTGTGTGTGTTTGTGTGTGTGTGTCCCTGTTGTGTGTGTGTGTGTTCCTGTTGTGTGTGTGTGTGTCCCTGTTGTGTGTGTGTTTGTGTGTGTGTGTCCCTGTTGTGTGTGTGTTTGTGTGTGTGTGTCCCTGTTGTGTGTGTGTGTGTTTGTGTGTGTGTGTCCCTGTTGTGTGTGTGTGTGTTTGTGTGTGTGTGTCCCTGTTGTTGTGTGTGTTTGTGTGTGTGTGTCCCTGTTGTGTGTGTGTGTGTTTGTGTGTGTGTGTCCCTGTTGTGTGTGTGTGTGTGTTTGTGTGTGTGTTTGTGTGTGTGTGTCCCTGTTGTGTGTGTGTGTGTGTTTGTGTGTGTGTTTGTGTGTGTGTGTCCCTGTTGTGTGTGTGTGTGTGTTTGTGGTGTGTTTGTGTGTGTGTCCCTGTTGTGTGTGTGTGTGTCCCTGTTGTGTGTGTGTGTGTGTCCCCTGTTGTGTGTGTCTTTGTGTGTGTGTCCCTGTTGTGTGTGTGTGTGTGTCCCTGTTGTGTGTGTGTGTGTCCCTGTTGTGTGTGTGTTTGTGTGTGTGTGTCCCTGTTGTGTGTGTGTTTGTGTGTGTGTGTCCCTGTTGTGTGTGTTTTGTGTGTGTGTGTCCCTGTTGTGTGTGTGTGTGTGTCCCTGTTGTGTGTGTGTGTGTCCCTGTTGTGTGTGTGTTTGTGTGTGTGTGTCCCCTGTTGTGTGTGTGTTTGTGTGTGTGTGTCCCTGTTGTGTGTGTGTTTGTGTGTGTGTGTCCCTGTTGTGTGTGTGTTTGTGTGTGTGTGTCCCTGTGTGTGTGTCTTTGTGTGTGTGTGTCCCTGTGTGTGTGTGTCCCTGTGTGTGTGTGTCCCTGTGTGTGTGTGTCCCTGTGTGTGTGTGTCCCTGTGTGTGTGTGTCCGTGTGTGTGTGTCCCTGTGTGTGTGTCCCTGTGTGTGTGTCCCTGTGTGTGTGTCCCTGTGTGTGTGTCTTTGTGTGTGTGTCTTTGTGTGTGTGTGTCCCTGTGTGTGTGTGTCTTTGTGTGTGTGTCCCTGTTGTGTGTGTGTCCCTGTTGTGTGTGTGTCCCTGTTGTGTGTGTGTTTGTGTGTGTGTGTCCCTGTTGTGTGTGTGTGTCCCTGTTGTGTGTGTGTGTGTGTCCCTGTTGTGTGTGTGTTTGTGTGTGTGTGTCCCTGTTGTGTGTGTCTTTGTGTGTGTGTCCCTGTTGTGTGTGTCTTTGTGTGTGTCCCTGTTGTGTGTGTCCCTGTTGTGTGTGTCTTTGTGTGTGTGTCCCTGTTGTGTGTGTCCCTGTTGTGTGTGTCTTTGTGTGTGTCCCTGTTGTGTGTGTCCCTGTTGTGTGTGTCTTTGTGTGTGTGTCCCTGTTGTGTGTGTCCCTGTTGTGTGTGTCTTTGTGTGTGTCCCTGTTGTGTGTGTCCCTGTTGTGTGTGTCTTTGTGTGTGTGTCCCTGTTGTGTGTGCCCCTGTTGTGTGTGTCTTTGTGTGTGTCCCTGTTGTGTGTGACCCTGTTGTGTGTGCCCCTGTTGTGTGTGTCTTTGTGTGTGTCCCTGTTGTGTGTGTCCCTGTTGTGTGTGTCCCTGTTGTGTGTGTCTTTGTGTGTGTGTCCCTGTTGTGTGTGTCCCTGTTGTGTGTGTCTTTGTGTGTGTGTCCCTGTTGTGTGTGCCCCTGTTGTGTGTGTGCCCCTGTTGTGTGTGTGTCCCTGTTGTGTGTGTGTTTGTGTGTGTGTCTTTGTGTGTGTGTCCCTGTGTGTGTGTCCCTGTTGTGTGTGTGTTTGTGTGACCCCAAAGACAAAGATCCCCCGTGTAGCCTCACCCCAGCACCCGGCAGTGAATCTGAACCGAGCCCTGGGCCTCCTCCCCTAGGTCGACTCGGCCTCAAAATGAGTGCGGGTGTGTAAGTGAACGTCTCGCCACTGGGGAGACAAAGGCGGCCGGGAGTGGTGCTGGCCACCCACCCCCTCGTGTGCCACCGTGCCGGTCTTCACAGGTGCTGCTGCTACTCGCTAACAGCACTTGCCCCTACAGCCTGTTACAGGCTACACGGGGGATCTTTGTGTGTGTGTCTCTGTGTGTGTGTCTCTTGTGTGCGTCTCTTGTGTGTGTGTCTCTGCTATGTGTGTGTGTCTCTTGTGTGTGTGTGTGTGTCTCTGTGTGTGTGTCTGTGTGTGTGTCTCTTGTGTGCGTCTCTTTGTGTGTGTCTGTGTCTCTGTGTGTGTGTGTCTTTGTGTGTGTGTCTTTGTGTGTGTGTGTGTCCCTGTTGTGTGTGTCTTTGTGTGTGTGTGTCCCTGTGTGTGTGTGTCCCTGTGTGTGTGTGTCCCTGTGTGTGTGTGTTTGTGTGTGTGTGTCCCTGTGTGTGTGTCTTTGTGTGTGTGTGTGTCTTGTGTGTGTGTGTCCCTGTGTGTGTGTCCCTGTGTGTGTGTGTCTTTGTGTGTGTGTGTGTTTGTGTGTGTGTTTGTGTGTGTGTGTCCCTGTGTGTGTGTCCCTGTGTGTGTGTCCCTGTTGTGTGTGTGTGTGTCCCTGTTGTGTGTGTCTTTGTGTGTGTGTGTCCCTGTTGTGTGTGTGTGTTTGTGTGTGTGTGTGTGTTTGTGTGTGTGTGTCCCTGTTGTGTGTGTGTGTGTCCCTGTTGTGTGTGTGTGTGTCCCTGTTGTGTGTGTGTTTGTGTGTGTGTGTCCCTGTTGTGTGTGTGTGTGTCCCTGTTGTGTGTGGTGTGTGTCCCTGTTGTGTGTGTGTGTGTCCCTGTTGTGTGTGTGTTTGTGTGTGTGTGTCCCTGTTGTGTGTGTGTTTGTGTGTGTGTGTCCCTGTTGTGTGTGTGTGTGTTTGTGTGTGTGTGTCCCTGTTGTGTGTGTGTTTGTGTGTGTGTGTCCCTGTTGTGTGTGTGTGTGTTTGTGTGTGTGTGTCCCTGTTGTGTGTGTGTGTGTGTTTGTGTGTGTGTTTGTGTGTGTGTGTCCCTGTTGTGTGTGTGTGTGTGTTTGTGTGTGTGTCTTTGTGTGTGTGTCCCTGTTGTGTGTGTGTGTGTCCCTGTTGTGTGTGTGTGTGTGTGTCCCTGTTGTGTGTGTCTTTGTGTGTGTGTCCCTGTTGTGTGTGTGTGTGTGTCCCTGTTGTGTGTGTGTGTGTCCCTGTTGTGTGTGTGTTTGTGTGTGTGTGTCCCTGTTGTGTGTGTGTGTGTTTGTGTGTGTGTGTCCCTGTTGTGTGTGTTTGTGTGTGTGTGTCCCTGTTGTGTGTGTCTTTGTGTGTGTGTCCCTGTTGTGTGTGTGTGTGTGTCCCTGTTGTGTGTGTGTGTGTCCCTGTTGTGTGTGTGTTTGTGTGTGTGTGTCCCTGTTGTGTGTGTGTGTGTTTGTGTGTGTGTGTCCCTGTTGTGTGTGTTTGTGTGTGTGTGTCCCTGTTGTGTGTGTCTTTGTGTGTGTGTGTCCCTGTTGTGTGTGTGTTTGTGTGTGTGTGTCCCTGTTGTG